ATTAAAAGTCAGCTTCCAAGCCAAAATCTAATAAAATTTTTCTGTATTTATTTTAACACCTTCAGGGGAAGATAACAAAAATATGAGCCAAGGTTTCTTTATAAACCACATACCTTTGTGTGAAATCAACCCAGAGTGAGGCTAAACTATTTTCCAACAATTCAGGAGTTAGCTGAACCTAATGATTTAACTCCCTTACTCAATCCACATCTAAACCACTATATTGCAACATTTCTTCACTACATCGGTGGTTGCTATAAAGATACAGCTTTCAAATAATTAACATATGTACAATTGTACAGACTGTTAGCTGTATTTTCTAATATGGCTAAAATGATTTCTTGCTTCATTATACCCCATCCCTACAGATTCACATGACTACCAGTGGATTTTGCTACAGCAGGATTCTACACCTAATGAGTAGAAATATTGGGCATTGCTCCCTAGTAATCACAACCTCATCTAAAAGTGTAAAGAGCTTTAAAAAAAGAAGACCATGGAGTTACAAAAGCATAATCCTTCCCTCTCCACAGACATCACTCTTAACGTTTTGACCTCAAAACAGCACATTTGTAGCTACCCCATAAATGAAAGAGGGCATATGCCAACACAGCTGTTTTGATAGAGGTGATACACAAGTGTGTTGCTCAAACACTCCTCATATGGCCAGTACAAATCTATAGAATCACAGGAGGCCATGAGGATTTCAGATGTTCAAGACTTAAAGGTTGATGCAAAGGTTGTCAAGTCAAATCAAGTAACCTTTATTGGCATCACATAAGAACATTCAGAATACATTCAGAATAGATAGGCCAGTATGATCTCGTCGCCACCCCAACGGCACAGCAAAGGTTGTCAATAGATCCTGAAGTATCACACCTGTATTCTCCTTTAGTCTGTTCTAGATTAAATTCCCTGGACACCAGGTCTTTCCTTTTCCAATTATTGTTATTTATTTTACAAATTATTACAAATCATTACCAAATTAATTCAACTTAAAAGAATTTTCCACAACCGGTTTCCTGCTCTCCTTATGAGATATGTCCAAGATAGACCCATGTTGCTGTGTAAGTTTCCTTTAACTTAGTGAATTGGGTGTCCCTTGCTGGAGTCATCTGCTTCTAGAAGTTCCTATTGTACTGCACATTTTTTCAAAGGTTAGATTCTTACCCTTTTTCCCAGATATGGTTTCTGGAAATGTATCTTCCATTTGGGAGGGAGAAATACTACTGCTGCTGGGTGATTTCCGTACATAATCCTCCTAGAAGAAAGAAAATAGGTCATTTAGATGTTCTTGTTGATCAATTGCTTCCACTTTAAAAAGCAGACATCTGCAATACTTTATTTAACAAGTTCCAATTAAAAGAAATGCTTTAGCATTTCTACTTTCTAGTTATTAGCAAACTTTCATGTGCCATGATCAGAGTTTTTATCAACACAAGGTACTGAAAAACACTAGTATATATAAACATTGGATGACATTAATAAAAATATTGCTAGAAGACAACAGATTACAAAATCTTGTGGTTGCCCCCTCCCCAACACCTTTGCTCATGTACCTCTTTGCTCTGTTTCCATAAATTTTCTTATGTATATACTCAACAAATATTACTTTTATTCATTTGAATTTAGAATAGAGTTTGCGGCTTACATACTTATAAAGTATAACATGATTGAGCTGGTATTTCTACTCAATATAGCATTTTTCCTATTTCTTTAAATTGTACTGGTAATTTACTTTCAATTTATTATAACATGAAATTCAACCTAAGGTTGTATTTACATGATATACAATCCAAGCTGTATGCTCCTGGCTATAAGCATTGAATAAATCACTGTCCCCGGCCAGTAACAGGAGCTTTACATTTTTCTTTTATGGCATCTTCTTTCAAAAATGGAATTTCAAGTTAAATAAGCTACAGCCCAGAAATTACACTCAAGCCCTTTCACTGATTGCTGCTATTGTTTAAGTACTTTATCACCAAATCATGACATGGCATGGTGGAAATTTGCACGTCCATATTCCAAAGCAAACTCACTTGATACACAAACAAAGATTTCTGTGCAGGTTATAACGTGGTTCTCTTTGGAATCCAGATCCACAACAAATACTACAAGGTGGTTCAAGAGCTTCATTTTTAACTTTTTTTAAAAAGGTACAAGCCATTCTGAAAAGTATGTACAGCTCCTGTTGCATGGATTAAAAATGGAGCTGCAAAGGCCCCCGGAACAATAGTTTGTGATTATGTGTTGTCACTCTGAAGAAAATTATATGGCAGGGGGTGGGGATGACATGATTGTCCCTATGGGCTGAAACAGACTTTTTATTTTTTAAAAGTGAAATTTGCATAAACCCAATTTGAACTATCTATCCATCTGTAATCAAGACTTCTATGTCAGGACTTTAGAGGAGAGAGCTGTAATTAATTCAGTTTCTGTTTAAGTGAAATAAGAGTTAACTTTAACTGAGACACTTGTTAGCATTATATATAAACAGCGTTAAAACCTTGATGATTTTATCACAATGCATTTTATAATAAAAAAATTCTGGTATTGTAAGTTTGTCTGTTCCAACTCCTCAGTAGCTGAGGGTGGGGTGAGAAAGAGGTGAATGCTTTTGTTACAAGCATGCCTGACCTGGAAATTTTTATAGGCATCAGGAATGCTACCTGGCTGACTGGTGCATGGAAGTTTACCTGCTTGATGGCGTGTCTCCTTGCAATTGCCTTGTTAGCCAAACAAACTGAATCCCCATAGAACATCCCTTAAGTCACCTGTTCAAGTATTGCTTTGACCTTGAGTCCTAGCAAAGGTTCACGGAAACCTACTTAGGTTTTGTTCACTAAATTTTAGAACTGGGTTGTTAATCTTAAAAGGAAATGTGGAAAACCTCACATTTTGTCAAGACTGATTCATTACTTGTTTTATTTAGGGGAGGGAATGCAGCACTATAACCCAACTGTAAGCTATTACTGAATACAGACAAGAGCAAAAAGAAGGTTGAACTCTGATAGACTTGTGACAGTCTATGATAGAAACTGTTGTTCTACAAGAAATGCTATGTGCTGTTATTCAGCCTGAGCTTCCAGAATTTGGAAGGGCCATAAAGTTCCCCGGGACTAGAACAATCAGACAAAACCATGCCAGCACTCCCAAAGACACCAAACATGGAAAGGCAAATATTGCAGTGCCTCCTCTTCACTCAGGAGTTTAAGAGTGTGCAGTGCTGGGCACAGGAATCACACACAATTTATTGAAAGATCATGCACAGCCCAAAGTCTCTCTTGTCTCCACTCTAGTTCCTGAGCCACCAACCTTCAAGGGATGCAGGGCCACCAGCTTTGCTGAGAAGCCAGACACCTCCATATGATCATCATCTGACAGCGGCCATTCCACAAGGCAGAAGGGAAGAGAAGGGATATAGACCAGTTCATTGGCAGAACTGAGAGACCAATAATTTTGGCTCCGCCTCTTCTTGAACTTGATTATTAGAGTAACTTGTAACTTAAACCTAAGTTTGCTTATTTCCTTCTCCCTTAGTCGTTTTCCTTTTTGTGTCATGTCTTTTTAGATTTTAAGCCTGGGGGCAGGAACTTGCTTGTATTGATCTGTAATTGCTCTGCAAACCTTTTCTGGCTTAAGGTAAGATTTAAAATTAATAAAAAAACAAATATATAATACCTTGAACAAAAAATTCTGACAAAATAGAAATTAATCAACAAAAATGTAAATCCTGAAAAGAGGTTCAGACTAACCAGCACCTTACCTCTGAATCTGAGCTATCCAGTTCAAGCCAAAGTGGGAGCTTTCAAAAGTCTCTTCCGTTGTACTGTCAACTTAGTAGCACCAATGCATTCACCTTTGCTTCTGATGAAAAGCTGCCATTCTGACAGCTTTCTGAAAGATTTTTGGAGGCCTCTGGTGTTGATACATCTAGGGGGGGAAAGAGAAAAATTATTGTGGTGGCACAGTAGAAAAGTAAACTCCACTTATACTTGTTTCTCACAGCGCAATTAATACCGAAGTTTCACAACTGTGAAATTTATCTCTTTTTTCTATAAAGTTACAGACACTGGAGTGCAATGTGGATGTGATGCGACAGAAAAGCATTAGTGGATCTGAGGAGGAAGGGAAGCATGTGACTTTCACAAATGTACTTTCAAAAACCTGATCTCATTCAAATTATAAACTTATTTGTGTTTCTAGCAGATAGCCCTTTGCTCAAAGTTAAATAAAACCAATAAAATGTTAAAAACTTGGGGAGCACTTTTGCCCATGTGAACCCTCCTGTACCTCTACTAGACTACAAAGCAGTTCCCCACCCCCCAGTTGTGCAGAAAGGTACTTATGTCAGTAGAGCCCAAGACTCTTAATTCCAGGGTTGTGGGTTCCAGCCCAATGTTGGGCAAAAGATTCCTGTGCAGGGGGTTGGATTATATGACCCTTGTGGTCCTGTCCAATTCTATGATTCTACGACCTATTTTCACTCTCTGCCCAAATGCATATTCTGAGTCATACACACACACAAGGTTCCTTCATGGGGTGAAGCAAGTGCCTACTGTCAGCTCCACATGGCCGGAGGGCAACAAGGAAGCAAACAAGATTGGCTACTAGGTGGGGAAGCCACCCCTGATACTTCTGCCCCCTGCCCAAGAATCCTTGAAAATCAAAAGACTTCGAGCTCCAGCAACTGCTCTGCAATTACAAACTAAAAAACTGAAAGTCTCCAACCTGATGCACATGGGCACCAAGGAAGGCTTAGGAGGGAGTCAGGTTCATGATTTCTGTTTACGGAATATCCCAGGCCCTGATTGGATGGGTGTTGTAAATAATCTATTCCAATTATATAAATCCGTGCTTCTATTTATAGAGGCAAATCTATTTTGATTTGTGAAACTGTGGATAAACAAATCATCCATCCAATATTGCTAAAAATAGTTTTAGCATATCAGCAGCCAGCTACTTACACCTTGCAGAACCCAAAGGAAATTTACAAGGAAACATACACAGAAACAGAAAATATAACACACAAAAAAGGAAAAAAAGAATAAAGCTCAAGGATAGATTGAAATGCATTTTACCAGACTATTTTTTGGTCACACTTGTAAGTATTTTGCAACTTAAGATATATATTTTAAAAAACTAGGAGTCTTGTGGCACCTAACACATTTTTGTGGACAACAGCCAACAGATGTGCGAAGGGAGCTAAGGGAGGAGGATTGTAAACAGTGAAGTGCAAGGAAAATGATATGCAGGTAAGTGCAGACTGTGATAGTTAGACTGTTTCCACCATCCTTTGCTTTCCTTTGACTTGACTCTTTACATTCCTCTTCCCTGCCAAATGTGTGTATGTACCGTATGTGTGTGCATGCGTGTGTGTATAGATAAACATACAGACACAACTGCAGGTAACATTTGATGAAGAGGACTAGTTTATGGGGGATTGCTATGAGTCTGTTTTGTTCTTGTTCTTGTTTTTATTATGTGTTTTGTGTTTTTATTTTGTATTTTAATGCTGTGAACTACCCAGAGAGCTTCCAACAAAGAGCATCAAACAAACAAACAAACAAACAAACAAACAAACAAACAAACAAACAAACATCAAAATGAATTTGTTAGGTATTTAAGGTGCCACAAAACACTCTATTGTTTTTGCTGCAATAGACACTGGTATCCCTCTGTCATATGATATATATCCCTACCGTTTCCCAGCTTTTAGTTATCTCAAGAGAATCAAGGCCACAATGTCTTCAGACCAGTAAAAAATAGAATAAAATATTGGAAGCAACTGCTTATAACCAATATTCAGATTGAAAATCATTCAAACAGACGGTAAAGGGCAACTAACTTAAATTTACAGCAAAAAATACAGCTAGCTATTAGATCTCTCACACACCACAAAATTACTGTAAATACAGGGCTTTTAAAGGCTGTTTTTTTGTCAGTATAAACTCTGAAATGATAATTAATTAATTCAATACAGATTAATTTAGTCAGACAAATGGGAAGCAATAGCAGTTACTTCTGCTGTTAGTCAGCAATTCCAAGACAAACAGTAGTCTGGCTGCAGAATATACATTTCTCATCTTGCCAAGATGGAAAAATAGCTATCAAATATCACAGGCTGCAATCCTTTTTGGAAAACGGCTGAGTTGGATCTTTTTATAGTGCAATCCTATACATGTCTACTCAGAAGTAAGTCCATTTGTTTTCACTGGGGCTTATTCCTAGATAGGTATGCATAAGAGCCTTAATGCTATGACATTTTGGTATCAGTGTCTACTACTAAGGTGTAAAACAAGATAATACAAAACCAAAATGGAATTCACCTTTTCTTTCTAGGTACAGATTACTGTGCTTACCAAATGAATCAAAGAGAACATAAATTATATATGAACATGAGCAATCATGTACCCATATGCTGTTTGTGTTCAAGAGCAGCTTTCATTGGAAAAGACAATTAGAACAGATGCTTAGGATTTTTAATATGCTGTTTGCCTAGATATGGGTACAATCTGGAGATGACAGAAAAATAAAAATAAGTCTCAGAATTGATGCTGATTTCACAATCACAAGGTGACTTAGGGATTATCCAGACTTCCTCTTCCAGGCACAGCTCTGCACTTTAAAGCTCTCTGTGTGCAGAAAACCCTATTGTTGTTTGCCCCGATTCAGTGGTAAAATGCAGGTTTGGACACAGAGCTTTAAAGCGCTGATCTGTGCCTAGAAATGTGGCACAAAAGGAATTGTGGATGAACCCTTAGATAAGAACATGAAATGCATTCCCAATTCAATATGATTGTGTGGCTAGTCCATACTTAAACGTGTTGCTAGTTATAACTTGAAAAAGACAGCTTCAAAGCCAGGGTTATGAATTTGACTTGTTTCAATAAACCATGATTTATGATTAACCACGTCAATGTAACCCCCGATGCTGCTAATCAAAAACAAAATTAAAAAGAGTTGATGTCCTCCGTGTGGCTATGCTGGAGTAGCAGTAGGGTGGCTGGGTGGAAAAGAGGACAGGGCACCTGCCCTTCTGGAAGAGGGAATTTCACTATGTATAGCTAAACCTGCTGGAATTCCTTCTTCTTGAAAAGGAAAATGTTATGGATAGTTGTAGCCCAGAGCTTCTACACCTTACCAAATTAATCTGTGGAGGACGGAAGCCTATATTGGGATTATAGAATAGGGTGACATAAATCCGTATATGTTTTTTGTTCTTTTCCTTTTTTGTTTGATGTTGTCATTTTATTATTTTGGTTATTTTATTGTCTGTGTTTGTTCATCAAGTAAGAAAACTAATAAAAAGCAAAATAAAAAAACACACAAATTAATCTGTGGAAATGATGTTTGACAGGTCTCCCTAGGCATAACTATGTTCACAATCGTAGTCATGAAAACCTTTGTCCTGGTTCTTTTGTCATTCTCCTTGATGACCAAGTAATTGATTATCAAGGAAATTAGAAGTCTCCTCTTTCAATAAACTGCACTAGATGGTGAGCAGGGCAGAAGTAGGGAGGACCATCTATTTCTTAGTTAACATTATGTCTTTGATCAAATCCACTTTCTTAGGAGAAATCTTAGTTCAGGCCTTTTCATTTAAAGATAAAATTCCTGATTCAATTAAGCAGCTAAATACCGGGAATTGTGCACTGATATTAAAGAATCTGTTCCTAATCTTCTTAATTTCCATAAACAGCTTCCTCTGTAACTTCCCTGTTAGTATACAGTGGGTTCAGAGAATAAGAGTTATCGTTTCCTCTGAAAATAGTTCCCTAGTGGGATCTTTGTTAAATTTTTAATTACTGAATCCTCTTTGCACAGCTGGTCGAAACATCAAGTAATTTATTTGAACCATTTCAAGATCAATTGAACAACTGCTTCAGCTTCAGACTTAAAAAGTATTTAATTTACAAGCTCTATGGAAGTGGATTTCCAGTTACATTTTGGGGGAGCGGATAATCCAGGAATAGCTGGGTTAGAGGAACAATCCATCTCTCCCTTTCTTGTACCTCAGCTCTTCTATCTTCTAGTTAGAACCTGAATTCAAACCAAAATAAATGGTTTGGGGCAGCACTTCACATACATAAATAAAATTGCATATAACATGAAATACACACCCTGTCACCCTCTTTTACAAAAAACCACTGAAATGCACATCTTTAAAATAAGAAAGCAGCACTTTTAAGCTAAAAACAGAAACAAACAAAAAACCTTCCTCTCCCAACACTTCTGTCTAGCCAGCTGCTAAAACTGACTAGAAGTATCAATTAAAAGGAATGTCTAAATTTAAGAGGCGAGGAAAATGTGAACAGCAAGCATGACCAATGTAGTAACATATTCTGATAACTTTAAAGTCAGTGGCTCCATAGGCATTCCCTATGTTCCTCTAACACACATTGGCACACACCAAGAGATGGAACAGTTCTTCTGGGGGAAACCAAGTATGGCAGCAAAAGCTTAAAGAAACACCCTCCTGGAGGGTAAATGTCAGAAACCTGAGGGAACTGTAGTGGTTACAGGGTGGGAGACAACTCTCAGATGGGGGAACTGGATGGACTCACTTTCCCTCCTGTTGCAGCCACTCACTAGTTCACACAAATTCAATAAAAGGTGGCTAGCAGGCACCGCCTCCCCTTTCTGGTGACAAAGGCAGCCTCATGGAACAGGCTTCTACCGGAATGTTTGATGGGCCATGAGATTTGACTCCCTCTCCTTAGTGCTTCCCCCCCAAAAACATTCCGATTTATACAAGGGAGATGTCGTAATAAAAATCTAAGTATAACCGGGCTGTGAAAATTATACAGCCACATATGTTTTTGGCTAGCGGCTTGTCCAATGTTGAAGGACTAATGTAGAGTTGTGGTTCTGTGGCAACCTGTTGAAGTATAAATAAAACAGGGGCCTTGTTAAACCAATGGTCCTTGTTCCATCTGCATGTGCAGACTAATTCTCATGCCCTTGATCTTCCCAAGAGACACTTTGGTGTCACCTTCAGCAACAGGATTGTGAAGAGCAGCTCTTGATAGAGATGAGGCCTTCCATTACTTACAGCCTCCTATCACATCCTCTTTACTCAAAACACTAACCTCTACTGCCGCTCAGACCATCTCAAAATGCTTCTTCATCCACATGTCCACTCTGACTTTAAGCCGTTGTTTCCTGTTACAACCCTTCCTCCAGTTCTACCAATATTCTGCACTTTATTTCCTTCCCTTCCTTTCTTGCCCCCACTCTCTGTTTTAAGACTGTAAGCTCCTTGTAGGTAAAGACTTGGCTGTTCTTTACAAATGAAACTCTAAGGTGTCACGTACAGCAATGGCACTGCATAAACCAGAGGTGTGCAACCTTTTTGGGTCCATGGCTCCCTTGACCAACTACATTCTTTCTGTGGCACCCCTGTGTGGCTCAGGAGCCCAGTTATGTCACCCCTTGCCTGCAAAGCTGGCAGCCACTCACCACTTTTTGAAACCCCCCTTGTGGAGTGTTCATCAGCCTCCTCTCTTCTCCCCTCTCCTTGGGAGTCCTCTGGGCAGCTGCAGCTGCCATCACTGGTCTCTGAGCTGCCCCTCCTGCCCCAAAGAGAGATGCCTCCTCACACTGCCCCACAGGGGCCTGAGAAGCATCCCCTGGCCAGCCCCAGAGGCACCATTTGCCTGGAGAGATTGTAGCCAGGGCTGATGCAACTAACAGCTGTGCAAGACTTTGGGAGGCAGAAACATGAGAGGGCATCAGAGGTGGGAGGGAAGGAAAGAAGAACAGAGACCAGTGTTGCCCAATGCACCCCTGACTATCATTCAAGGCACCCCAGGTTGCCATGGCACACAGGTTGAAAACCACCAGCATAAGCGATTAATAATGATAGTGATGAAAATAACAGAGCCTAATTCAAAAACAAATCTATACTTAAACTATTTGGACAAACATTGTAAAAAAAATAATACAAATAAGACTACTGCTCTCCTTTTTGAGGGATTCCCTATTTGTAAACATCAAATCATCAGACAAAACAAGCAGGGAGGTTGATGATGATGAAAGCACCAATTAACATGGAAGGAAATGGAAATATCCATTTTTAAACAATTGAATAAAACACACACATATAGCAACACAGTTAAAGAAAACTCCTCAATACAGCCAATTCTTTCTTAATCCAAAATCATGATAACTGAAGCTTGTGCTGATCATGTGCTAGCCCACTTCTATCCACAAACTCCTCAATTTGCTCCCCAAAAGTACAACTCAGAGGAAGGTTCAGAATTCAGACGATAAAGTACCAACATCACATTTCTGTGTGATGCACGTGCCTGCCTGTTATAAAACTTTTCAAACAGAAACAGAAAAGCAAAAGCTCTTTAGATAATATTCAAATCCAAAGCGTGGTTGAAATCTGTAACATGTTAAATAGTAAATCTACAGCATATTAATGTATTAGTGTGAAAGGTTATGGGTCAGATCCAACATATTACAAGTGGGTGTCCATTTGTGCAACAGGATTTCACCTCCCTTTCCTCCCCACAGCAGCCCCTCTGGAGCAGACTTTGGGGGCATGCAGGGGGGCTGAAATGGGGAGAAGAGAAACACAAAGCACTGTTGCGCAAGCAGGCAGATATCACTGGATGTTACCCTGTTTAATGTAGCACATATAATTTTAGTAATAGAAAAAAGAGAGTACAGTGGTACCTCTGGTTACGAATTTAATTCATTTTGGAGGTCCGTTCTTAACCTGAAACCGTTCTTAACCTGTGGTACCACTTTAGCTAATGGGGCCTCCTGCTGCTGCTGCACCGCCAGCGCATGATTTCTGTTCTCATCCTGAGGTAAAGTTCTTAACCCGAGGTACTACTTCCGGGTTAGCGGAGTCTGTAACCCGAAGTGTTTGTAACCCAAGGTACCACTGTATCTATTGAAACAACCTCATAAGGTTATGAGTTCAAGAAAGAATAGTAAGTTCTCATTTTATCTCCCTTCCTTCTCCCCTTTTCCATGTGAATTCTCTCTCTCTTAGATTTTCAGAACTAGCCATGGCTAATGTTATGCCTGCAGGAGAATCTTTGCTGGCCCTGCTTAGCTCTCCCCAGAGTTCTGAAAGCTATTTTTAATGATAGTTGCAAACTCATATTTGGTGCTTACCATGGTTCGATGAAATACTAGTACACATGTGCACTAGTATATACTAGTACGCTACATCATGGTTCAGGCCCACTGTGAGCACCTGCAATGGTCAGGTAAATGCTGGGATTCATAGGCCCCAGGAAGGCCATTCAGAGCTAATGCTAGACTCTGAAATAACTTTTCATTTTCTTTGTTAATTTTTTATTTTTTTTTACCAAAGTGGTGTCCATGCTGCAAAGTGGCTGCCAAGGCTGCATCCACCCACCATCTGCTTTTCCTCAGAATGCTTCTGGGACCTGGTGCCAAGAGGTATTCTGGGAAATGAAAACGGCAGGTGGCAATACCCTCAGAAAGTGCTTCACTTTGCAGTGCACCTGTCACATTGAGAAAACATGTTAAGAAGTGACAAAGCCACTTGTTAAGCTTCCTTGATGCAAAGACCAGGGTGATATGGGAGGTCCTAGGAGGGGCTTTTCTCCTGGACTCCTTCAAACCTAGCTCTGATCTTGCCATATGAAAATAAAAGGGAAGGAAAATTCTCATGTGGAAGTGGAGGAAAACTGCATGAGCCTAGAGGCCACTGCTAATCGTGGTTAGAAGATCATGCCTGTCATTGGCTCATGTATGAAGGGAGTTCTGGACCAACACTGTTGTGGAGCATTGCACTGGTACAGTGAACCAACAGAACCAATCTTCTATAAATGGTTTGTGAATAAATTCCTAAGAACCCAAGAAGAGTCTACTAGATCAGGCCAATGGCCCATATAGTCCAGCATCCCATTATCACAGTGGCCAACCAGATGCTTGTGGTAAATCCGCAAGAAGGATTTGAGCACAAGATGATTCTCCCACCCTGTTTTTCCAGCAACTGGTATCCAGAAGCATTATTGCCTCCAACTATGGAGGCAGATAAGAGCCATCATTTGATAGCCCTTTCCTCTGTGACTGTATCTAATCCAATTTTAAAGCCGTCTAAGTTAGTGGCCATCACTGCCTGCCACGGGTGCGAGTTCCATATAACTTTGTGCTGCATGAAAAAGTACTTTCTTTTATCTGTCCGGAATCTTTCAAGATTCAGCTTCATGGAATGTCCACATGTACTAGTGTTATGAGAGAGGGAGAAAAACTTTACTGAAAAACTTATTCCATGCCATGCATAATTTTATACTTGTCTATCATGTCACCGCTTACTCACTTTTTCTCTAAACTAAAAGTCCCAAATGCCGCAACCTTTCTTCATAGAGGAGTTACTCTTTCCCTTTGGGTGCCCAGTCAGAGTAATGGGTGTTTACTCAAATATATTATACTAGCTCTGCACTCTTCTATAATCACAGTATTTTTAAAAATAAATGTTTACACAAATGCTAATGATTTTAGTGTGTATCTCAGATGATATTTAAATTAATCTTAAAATCTGCAGACTAGGATTTGGAAAAACATCCTTCAGATGTTTTTCTTACATTAAACAAAGAAATGGAATGGAACACGATTTACAGTTATCACAATAACCACGTCAGGTGCTGTAGCACTTTTTACCTGACAAGTCAAAACTGTAAGACATGCTAAGAGGCCGGATTGCTGGAAAAAGAAAAGAAAAGAAATCAAAATGACAAAAGAAAAACAATCTGTTTTTAAGGGAACACAAAGAAAACAGAAGGTTAGTTTAAATGAGAGACATTTCAAATTTTATTATACAGGCCAATCTAAATCTGAAATGAGTCAGACACTTTTTCTTTACAGCAGTAAAGGTGTAAGTGTAAACACTGCAACAGCATCATGGGAGGTTGGAAATACATTAACACCTGGATCCTAAACATATATTTCCCTGGAAGGGCTAGTTTAGCTAATATTAACTCCACATGCAGAGCACAGTGAGTATGATATTTAAAAGATCTTTACTGCATGTGCAGCCCCCAATATGCACGCCTATAATATACCTATCATTGTTTCACATTCTCATCAGGGATGATGCTGGTGTACAGATACTATGCATAATTGGGCTGGACATGTGGTGATAATCTTTTAAACATTACACTGCCTTCACATTACATAGCCATAAGTAAAGGCTTTCCTGAAGCCTGCATGCAGGATTAATACCTTCTAATTTGGCCCGAAGTCACATCGATTCCAGTAAGGGCCACTTGACACATGACAAATTACTTAAATGAGTGTAGAAAATTGCATATAAATCTTTGTGTAGTGTCACATACAATAAATACACATTTATTTTGCTTCACATGTTTAACTGCAAGGAAGTTCCGACTGCTAGCAGGTTTCTGTGGCATACACACATAAAAAAACAGACCTGCATTTTTTCAGTTTTGATTTTGTAAATTCTATTTTATATTTCAAAATTATTTTGGTAAAGGAAATTTGTCATGTTAGAAGTGGCTATGAATGTACTTAGGATCACTGGTAAAGTAAAAAAAAAATCCTGTCACAAAGATGCTGCTGAAAAAGTTATACTGTAATAGAAATACATGCATAAATACATAAGGAGGGTGGGGGAGGGTGGCAAACATTATGGCACTACATTTCAAGGAGGTAGCCACATGCAATTGCAGAGGTACTCAAAATAGTTTGGTCAATTAATCTCAGTACTGGCATAAAATTCCTTACTCTACTCCCAACTGTAAATTGCCAAATGCACAAAATAACTATTCTTCAAAGATATCTATCATTCTTTTGATGAGAATAAGGTCATCTTGGCTGTAAAAAGAGCAGTTATTGGTGATTATAGTGTTTTCTCTAAATGCTTAGTGCTTCACATACTTCACTCAGTAATCCTTACAACAACCATGGAATGTAGGCCTGTATTATCCACAAATTACAGATGTGGAATTAAGATTGAAAAATGGTGGTCTGCCTAAAGCTGCCCAGTATGCTAACATTTGAACTAAAACATGGGAAAGGGCCTTATTGGTTTACAACTCATGCTTTTAACCAGTTGACTATATATGCGCTCATGAAAACTGAAAATAGGCAACTGCTTGCACTGCTGGTGCATAATTATATACTGTAAAGCTGGATGTGTAAATAGATAACTTGAACAGCAATAGTATTCACACTGAATATTCTGACACTATAATTTAGGGGTTGCTAAACTCCACTTTGGAAGAAAAGATCCATCCTCCCTAAGCAAATTTTCCTGCCTTCTGGCAGCAGCAGTGAAAACAACAAAAATTAAAGTAACACTGTGCTGGTATAGGTGGAGCCTAGTGCCCTGATGGGGATGAAGATGGTTCCCTCCCCATTTATAGGTACTTCCTTCTTTATTGCCTATGACATTAATAGTAGATACACAAGTCCTCTTACGGTGGTGCTGTTTTATGACTTTTAAATAAAAGATTTAATATGTGAGAGTTTCAGCATTTAAAAATAATTAAAATAAAAAATAATAATTAAAAATAAGTGTCAGACAACAAATATCTCTCTTCAGTTGCATCAATGCCCTATAATTTCATTGACTTGTTTTTATTTAGTTTTTGAGAGGATGTGTGTTCTTGTGTCCAATGCTGCAGCATATATCTACCTTGATTTTTATTAATGTAGAAAATGGTATGGGTATCACACACACTCTTCTCCGAGCTGTTACATGTGGACTAGATATCACACTATTGCATTTAAATGGAATCTTGTAGGACTACTGTGCAGAAATTGAAAGAGAAGTTAAAAACACACACCCCATACACCAAAAGAATAAGTGACATGTTGCTTTGTACAAAAGGAAAGCAACCACTGCTACTTGTCAATAAATTAGTGGAAAACTACTCCATGTGTCCAGCACAGGTCACTGTGGCAATTATATTTTCCTAGACCAACATAAGAAAAATGAAATAACTGAACATTGAAATAGCTGGTCTAAATCACTGATCATTATTATTACTTTAATAAATACAGAGTCCATGTGCCTTTTAATAAGCAATCAGAGCTCCCGAGCTTGCAGACATTCCATTTCACTTTAATGACTATTCTTATGAAGAGAGCTCAGTGAACATACTGGTTTTTTCACACCTGCAAGAATCAAGCAACTTATGTACAATCACCACCTATCAAAATCAGCAGGTGGGTTTTGTTTAGCAGTTTCCTTCCCTCTTTAGCTCTTTACTCCCCACACCCCAAATCAGCACAAAAGGACATTTCAGAACAGTGTGCAGGTGTGTGGGGAATCACTGGAGAATGTCTCATTCCCTGTTCGCATGATAGAAGGATCTTCTTCATCAATGAGCCTTCAGTAAGCGGAAGGACACCAGTTGGATACAAGCCATTAGAAATATGCAATAATTTCATCAGCAGAGTACCACCCAGGACTAATATAATCAAAATCAAAATACCTAGCCTGCTGCGCCTGATCTCATCAGGAGAGACGGGCCTCAGTTTTCTTTCAGACTTGATTTCTTCCAGTATTCTTTCATGGAGGCTACGTGGTCTTGGTGGGGTTGGTTTTAGTTTTCTTGCAGAGGCCTTGTGAACATTAATACAAAAGTAGAGAATTGATGCCAAACACTTCACATGATATGTGTACAGCAAATTATTATCATGGTGAAGTCTTTCATAAACTAAAACACACATAGGGTTATGGGATGGATTCAGGCATTGATCCAGACAGGCTTATATAATAAACCATACTGGTTTTGAACTAGATCAAATTCAAGATAGCAGGTCTGATAGACATTGTTTCTTCATGTTGTTTCTCCTCAGTGCTCAATGCAAAGGCAGCTAATTTTTTTGGTAGTAATTGTACTTGCCCCATTTAGAAATTAAAGTATTCCCCCACCCCTTTTCAAATAAAAAGGGTATATATATTCATCAGGAACTGGGCATGATAGGGTAAAAAACAACAACTAGGAGGCTACAAGTTAAATGAGAAATATGATTTATAGTGAATGAAAACCTCTCCCTCCTTGAATCAAGAAATGCAGGTGCAAATAAAAATTGATATTGGAAAGTGTGTGGACAGAGTCAGGAATGACAAAACCCAGCAAGCAAACAACAAGGCTAGCGGAAATAGGTTTGTAAGGAATGTGTATTAATTCAACAGGGAGTCTGGCAGCAATAAAGTTAGTGCTTGTCTGAATCCTATGTATGTTAAATACCAAGGGGAAAAGATAGCATGACCAAGAGGAGGAAGTGTATTTGGGCATACCTGTCCCTGGTTAAATGGCCCAACAAGTGTGTGAGGAATTAAGAGAGGCAATGTCTGGGCAGGAATTGGCCACAGAAGGGAGGAAGAGTACAAGACTCAAGCTGAGAAAACCTACTGAGAGCAATATATTGTGAGCACGGAATTCTGATTAGAAGGAAAGTGAAAATACCAGAGAGTTTCTATGCAAGCATTATAAAGCTGAAAGGGGATAGACTATATGAAAAATGTTTGTGTTTTCTATTCTATAGCATTTTTCAGGTGAGAAGTGGTAGGAGCATCAATAAAAATAACTATTGCAAACAAAATATACCGTATTTTTCGCACCATAGGACGCACTTTTCCCCCTCCAAAAATGAAGGGGAAATGTGTGTGCGTCCTATGGTGCGAATGCAGGCTTTCGCTGAAGCCTGGAGAGTGAGAGGGGTGGGTTGCCAGCATGCCGAAGCCTGCGCACGCTGAGCTCAGCGCGTCCAGGCTTCCCGGACCTCCCCGCAAGCAGTGGGAGCGCTCCCGCTGTTTGCGCAGGGTTGCCAGCATGCCGAAGCGTGCGCGCGCTGAGCTCAGCGCGTCCAGGCTTCCCGGACCTCCCCGCAAGCAGCGGGAGCGCTCCCGCTGTTTGCGCAGGGTTGCCAGCATGCCGAAGCCTGCGCACGCTGAGCTCAGCGCGTCCAGGCTTCGCGGACCTCCCCGCAAACAGCAGGAGCGCTCCCGCTGTTTGCGCAGGGTTGCCAGCATGCCGAAGCCTGCGCGCGCTGAGCTTAGCGCGTCCAGGCTTCCCGGACCTCCCCACAAGCAGCAGGAGGGCTCCCGCTGTTTGCGCAGGGTTGCCAGCATGCCGAAGCCTGCGCGCGCTGAGCTCAGCGCGTCCAGGCTTCCCGGACCTCCCCGCAAGCAGCGGGAGCGCTCCCGCTGTTTGCGCAGGGTTTCCAGCATGCCGAAGCCTGCGCGCGCTGGGCTCAGCGCGTCCAGGCTTCGCAGACCTCTCCATAAGCAGCGGGAGCCAGCGCTGGGCTCCCACGGCTTGCAGAGAGCTACCTGTTTGGGGGCTGGGGTTGGGGGAAGCTCGAGCTTCCCCAGCCCGCGCCTGGGGGGGAAATAATTTTTTCCCCTTTATTTCCCCCCAAAAAAACTGGGTGCGCCCTATGGTCCGGTGCGCCCTATGGTGCGAAAAATACGGTATTTAAAAGCTACATCTTAACTGGAAAAAGGCACATATCAAATTACATACTGGATTTAATGGAGGTCGAGATCGGATAAAGTCCAAGATAATATCATGAGCACTCTTTTTTAATCGTGGAGGGATATCCCCATTGACCTGAAAGAGAGAAAACTAATGTTTTATCTGCACATCTGTATCATCTGGTAATTTGAAAATGGAAGCAGGGCAATGCATCCTAAAACCATCATAATCACTGAAACGCATCAATAGTCTTCAATCAGCTAAGGGGTGCTGAAGATAATAACATGTTGTTTGACATTAAGAATTATCTTTGATGAATCAGACCAAAAATCCAGAACTATCACAACAGCCAAAAGGAAGCAAAGCACAATGGGACGAATTCTGCTTGCTGCAGCCATTGGCAACCTCCACCTACATATTGCCTGCATTTCACCCACCCACCCAAATTGCCAAAATGATCATAACAGCAGCTGCTGGTCCAGCATTCTATTCTCACATAGGCCTGAAGGCCACAAACAGAATATGAGTGCAAGAGCATTTTCCCCACTTGTGATTCCCAGCAACAAAGATGTTATACACCCTATAAGGCTTTTTCCACCTGGGCTCTCTGTGTCTCCCTCTGTCTGTTTCTTTCTCTCTTTTACTTACTTACTTACTTACTTACTTACTTACTTACTTACATACTCTCTCTCTCTCTCTCTCTCTCTCTCTCTCTCTCTGTTTGGGCTCTCAAATTTCAGCGCTGCCCCATGCAATGCTAAAATTCAGCACCCCCTGCCTCTCGTCTTCTGTTCTACACCATTGTTGAAGCATCCCTTGTGGCACCAGGACCCAGTGCGGACAAACCAGTTGCACAGCCTTTAAAACTGCCTCTGCACACACCATGGAAGAGGAAGCAATTTCCAGAGGAGTGGTCTGCAAGAGCGGGCCTGCAATGTCCAGAGGTCTGCATAATGCCATCTATACAAGCTGCAGGGTTTCCACCACTATTCTATGGATATGTGTGGAATCATAAACCTGACTTTCACCAAAAGACACAGTGAAAGGTGGTCATTTCTTTTTTAACTTGTGTTGTCACAGCTTACCATAACTTTCCTTAAAGTATAGCGTTTGGATCGAATATCATCCATCAGCATCTCATACGGAGTGAGCTGATACTCTATGGGAAGAGGATTGAACTGACGTTCTTTAACTTTCTTCAGTTTCACACCATCTCGCAAGTCTCGCATGACCTGCACCCAAAACTGAGCCTGAAGAATCAAGAACATTAATATTTTTCAGAATCCATAATCAAATGTTAGCCCACTAAGAAAAATAACTAAGCTGATCCAAAACATAATGATCACTAGTTTAAATTAACTTTTATAACTTTTTCTTAGTTATGGTTTTAAATATAAAATTTTATAAGCTTTTATAGGTATTATATAAATTGTATAGATAATGTTTATAAATTTATGATATTCTGATGCTTTTATTGTACACTACCACAATATGTTTAAAGAGTTGGAGGTTTGGAAATATGCTTATCAATAAATAAAAACACATGAACAGTAAAAAAACCAAAAAACACTCCACAATCATACACAATATTTGGCCACAATATTTAGTGTATTATTTACAAGGCAGTATTACCCAATCAGCAGTTTTTTAAATCATCAAGATCAGCGCTGGAGTCATCAGTTCCTCTCTGTCCATTTCCTGCATCTTCTTCAAATTCTGCAGGTTAAATAAAGGTAGATATGTTGCAATGAAACAGCAGCAGTATGGTCAGAATAGATCAGAACCAGCCCTTTCATAACCAAAAGAGGCTTTACACTAGTGGAACGGCATCTTTGAATCTCAGCCAATATATTTGCAATGTGGGCAACAGATGATGAATAGAGTGGGGATCAAGTGGGGCCCAGAATCAAAATGGTAGAGACAGAGAAAGGAGGGGCACAGGCAAGAAAACAACACAAGTTAATGAAAGAGGTTCCAGTTGTTTCAGTTCTCCCTTCAACCCTTGTTACTCTGGGTTTGATGTCAACGCAGGACTTCAAGAATGGACTCTGGCTTATCAGTGCTGGATCAGTGGTTGCTAAAAAAGTTGTTATCCATGACTTGATTCAGAATGACACTGCTGACCTGAGATATAGAGGGTGGTATCAGCCTTGAAGCATGTGCTACTGGCTAGCTGCTTCTAGGCAGTTAGATTTGCAGATTATTACCTTTGGAAGGTCTATATGGTCTAACAACTGGGGGCCCATTAATATCTGTGAGTGGATGCATTGGTTTCTGTTGTATATGGTGGGGTACCCATATACCTAATATGAAATGTATTTGAACATCCTGCCCTATCTCCAAGCTATTCACCGTACTACCACCACCACCACCTACTAATAATAATAAATAGCTGACATTTGATAACATTTTCAGGTGTTAAAAGCACTTCACATACATTAACTAGTTGTAATATTTACAACAACCTTATAATCAACCTTATAAACTGTAATATAAGGAATGAAATCTGTTTCATCTGTTGTTTAATTGGCTTATTGCTAGATTTCTAGACCTGGCCTTTTAAAGGTACTTTATTTAACTTGATGTAATAGTGTCATATTTGTCACAGTTTG